AATTATCACTCACAACATCCCCAACAAATAAATATTACTTTTCTTTATTTTAAGCATTCCATAATTAAAAAAATCAAACCAAACTAGTTTTGTGACACACATCTGAATTTGGAAAAAAAGTTCGGTTTACCCATTTTATATTTGAATTGAATTTTGTGTTAAGAGTGAAACGGTTCTAATGTGCGATAATGTCTGTTGATAGTCATTACATATTAAGGGAAAGTTTAAATTATACTGACAACATGAAGTTAATCAAATATTTAGATCCTACATCACAGGAGGAAGAACAGCAGTGGCACTACCTGATTCATTAAGAATCGTACATCCAAACAAAAAATATAAAGATGAAGCACATGCGAAATGTCTCATTCTATTGATCTTTAGACTCACGTTCATTGGAAGATACGACTCGTACTTTGATACGTCAGTGAGTATACTGGACATCAGCGGGGGAAAAGGTCCTGCTCTGTCCAGTTCAGGATGGAGTCCCGAATTGGGCCTGACCCATGTTGAAATCCGCAGATAGAATTCTCCAGATGAGACAAATATCAGAGTCACTGGAAGTGAGCCTTTGAACTGGATGGAGGATCGATATTAAAACCATGCTAGTAGAACACCGATATTAAAGCCCTTAGGAAAATATTTATGTTTCATATGTTGGAAATTTAATTCAAACTTTTTGATAAAACAAATGCATGTTAAGTGCCATTCTGGTATTAATTTTCTTAAAAGGAACGCATTATACTAGTGCAATGGAACAGCCTTTTCTTAACGTTTCTGTCTACTGACAATTTTACATCATTAGAATTTTGAAAGACGTCGGGGAAAAAGCGAAAGTCGAGAAATGTTGTGGAAAGCAATTGCTTCGACGTTTGGATTTATTTTTCTTGGTTTGAAAAGGAATTATAATTTCATTTTCTTTTTATTTGCATTATTTTCAATAGCATTTCTGATACTAAATTTTGCCACTCAGTGAAATCTCTGCTTTTTCCGATGAAAATGGATTTATATAAAAGAATGCAGCAAAGTTTAAAACTGTACTATTTTAAGTTAAATACGTATCAGAAACACTCTTCTCGAGTTATTCGGGGGCGCAATATATTTTTATGTTTTGAGTTAAGATTCATGATCTAGTTAACCCCCTAGTCCCCCCCCGGTTTTTTTTTTTTTTTTTTTTTTTTTTTTAAGATTAATAGACTTTAGTCTGTTTCTCATCATTCCTCTCCGTAACAAACGGGATCAGAAAACATATTATTGTTTGCACGAAAAGGACTTCAATTTCGAAGTTAAGGTCAGAATGTTATTACATTCCTTCACCACAAGAAATGCCATCAAATTCGAAATTTTTTTTCCTCTTCTGCAAGAAAAATAAAGCAGGAAAATTTTATCCTTCTTTACTTGGAAATATAAGATATTTAGAGTTGTTTAACACGTTGAGCGGGGCGCCGAATTTGCTGTCTTTTCCGTTCAGCAGCGAGCTAAGCCGTATTTTTGTTTAAAATGTTTCAATAAATTTCATTAAAACTAAATTTGATCACATTTCATTGAGACTATATTTATTTTTTAACTTTAATACTGTCGGTCACGTGGACTGACGCCAGCCAAACGGAAACTTCAGTGCCGGTGCAAAGAGACCGACGCCGGCCACACGGAACGTTCACTGCCGGTCCCCAGGGACCGGCGCCGCGCTCAACGTGTTAATGTCCTCTTTAGTGGTTTCAGAAATTAGACTAAGTTCAGGGTTAGATAAAATGACTGTGTTGTTTGGGGAAATATTCATATGGTAATTCAAACGTTTCAATAAAACAAATGCATGCTAATCGTCATTCTGGTATTACGTTTCTTAAAAGCAACCTTCGACGACGAATTATATTGGTTCCCATGGACAGTTTTCATGGAACTGAGAAATGTTCCATTTCGAGGAGGGCCATGGCACAGCCCTTTCTTTTTCATGCTTAGGAAAATTGAAGATTAAATTTTCTTAGTAAAAAGAACTTCTGGTATCGTTGGAGGTAGGTGATATTGGGTAGAAATTTACAAACGAAATGCCATAAGGTAGCTGTATCCAACCTAAAAAGGTATCTAATTCTCAGAACTGTGTAACCACTGATACTTTACTTCTCTGTCTAAGAATAGCGTGAAGTCATTTTCTCACCAGATACTCTTTATGTCATAGCGGAATTCGACATAAAAATATATATTAAATAATTTCTTTATTCGGACGAATATAATTTTTGCTACCATTACCGATTCCCATTATATGTGTCTTTTTATCTCCTCTTTCGTAATTGTTTTAATTCCTCGTCAAGATGGTAATTACGAAAGCAGTAGAAAATATATTGTAAATGAAGAATTTAAGTTTTGTGAGTGTTAAAGAAGACAAGTGGCACATTTTTTAAGTTCCCGAATTCAACACAGATGGTGTTTATGGTGCAGGTAACGACTCTATCTGCTTGTAAGGCATCGACAGAATACAAGTGAAATGTCAGCGTTGTGTATAAATAAGCAATTTGATTATGGAGAAAAAAGACGCAGAGATGTCTTTTCATACATTCTTTTCTGAATGACTCTAGAAATCAAAGTGTAATGTTAGTTAGTAGTTCATAATTTTAAATTTTACAAATTAAAAGGAATTATAGGAAATAATAATAGTAGAATTAATAGTAATAATAATAATAGCAGAAAATTTGAAATTTTACAAATGTTTCATTGAGCCAAGGGTATTTCACCATTTGCGTCTAACCTCTAAACTTTATATGAAACGTTTGATTTAATAGTGTGTCAACAACTTTTCTAATGTTGTAGCCCGGAATATTTTAATTGAATTAAATGCATAACTTAAATAATTAGGGTAATTCTAAATCCCTTGTAAAATACAAAAATCTGATGTATACACCATATGACTTCCTTGTACGTAATATTAAATTATACGCATTTTTCGCTACATTTCATTTAAAATTTTTCATTTTATTCCATTGATTATTCAGTCAGTCAAATACATTGCAAATGGATATTATCAATATTCGTTATCTCGGTACTTTCGGTACTGGTATCCGTACCTCGCCTAACCTAAATTTGTCTAACAGAAATTCGGTACAACTAAACCGGAATTCATGCAGAAGAAAACTCCTGTTGTTTCCCACCATTTTCAAATCCTAAAAGTAAACATCTGTGATATTCTTTTTCCCAAATCAACTTTCATTACTTCATTTTTTGCACATAAATATATATCTAAAAGTACAAAGAATGATCTCAGTAAAATCTACGCAAAATCAATGAACTATGGAAGCAAAAACTTTATTGATTTCAGTAAAATAGCCATTGAAAACAATGTGCTATTTATCCTAAGTGATTCTAGTATAAAACTCTTCAGCGAACTGTCGCTGATGGACAAAATAATCCGGAAAAAATTACCAGTTTTAAATGTATGATTAATTGTAACACAGATGTTCAAACTGTGTGTCTCGGAACTTCATGATCCTATGCAGCTTCGCATGTTTCCGCAAACAAAATTTAATTTTCAAGACAGCTCTTTAACTCCAAGTTATCCATTAAACTAACCATTTAAAATTAATTGAATAAATAACATTTCTTTATGTCTGTTGTTACTGCTGCCTAAAACAATATATAAACAGCTTTCGTTTTTCTGTTAAATTGCAATGAAATAATGATTTTTATCTTCTTTACCACATAAATTTGCACAGAAAATGGTTATTGCATTTTTACTGTGATTTCTTCAGGATGGAAGAAATTCCACAACAAAGGGGGATGATTCTTTGGTACGTATTATGGTGTACAGCAGACTTTTATCCTGATATCTTGCCAGATCACTTAGGGAAACCCATTTGGGGCCTCCCTCTTGCTAGTTCTTCACAACTGCATCACAATGCAGGTGAGATCAGAAGAAGTAAATAGAGTGAGGCACCATTGCCTCTGTAGTCTTATTGGTGGGTGAGAAAACCGAGGAATTGGCGTTAAGGCTAAGTGGCTAACCCGCAGCTTCTTTGCAGTCATATGATTATTGGAACATTGAAGTTCGTCAGCACAGAGATTGATGAAACAATGAATGAATAGAGGTTTCAGGAAAAAAAGATATAATTTTAGTGAAGATCATTGTTGGTCTTCGGTCATGTTTTGAATATGTTAATTATTTACATAATCCTTTGGAAGCTTTCTAGTAGTATCCTTGCAATTCGTGCAGCAGTACCGTTCTTCTTTACCTATGAGTCTGCACGTTAAAGGAGCAATAAAAATATTTAACATATTTTTATGAAGGCAGATATATATTATTTACTTTGTAGAGTCATTAGGATTTTTTTAGAAGCCAGAGAGATGAAAAATATGCAACCGCCTTCGCCGGGAATCGAACCACGGACCTCTGAAATACCGGCTCAGTGTGCAGAACCACTACACCACGAAGGCTCGCTAGGGAAGTGGGAGAAATACCTTATATACTCCCCTTTTTAAAGGGCGACTAGGGTTTTAGGGGACCTAGTCGCCAAATCCTGGGTGCGGAGAATCATCATCCACAACCCTTTTTAGTTCGGGCGCCACTTGTAGAGTCATTAGGATTTTTTTAGAAGCCAGAGAGATGAAAAATATGCAACCGCCTTCGCCGGAAATCGAACCACGGACCTCTGAAATACCAGCTCAGTGTGCAGAACCACTACACCACGAAGGCTCGCTAGGGAAGTGGGAGAAATACCTTATAACTTCATAAGATTTAACTAAGGGTAAATATTTAAAAGCAAAATTTTGAACCTTAAGTAAAATATGTTAAGACATTCAGCTCAACTTGCACTTTTTTATAAATAAACCTAAAACCAATTAATCAAAAAAAAAAAGGAGACGAAATGGTTATTTTTCTATTAGTTTGGATAAACGGTATTCTACAGTATTAATTCCAGTTCGTTTTGATTAGTTAATGTATTATATTGAAGTTTACAACCTTAATTACAATTTGCTGCATCGCTTTGCAAAGCAGTTTCTTGAAAATTAGAAAACATATTTTAATCAATAATTTATTATCTTTTCACAAAATAACAAAAGCCACAAAATATCCTGAGTTGATATGCTTAAACTATAATGGAGATAGTACACTTCAGTTCAAGATCCTTTCGTGTGTTTATCGAGGAACGTTCATATTTCTAATCCAGTTCATTTCTTGAACTCCTGCAATTACAAAATGTAACTGATTAATTAAATATCATGCTTATAAATTTTATATAATGAAACAAATTATCTTAATGGAAAGTAACATGAAATCAAATACCGTACAATATAAAACGTATCTACGTTTAATAGTGTAGTAAAGTCGAATAATGAATCCTTTTTTTATAGTCACCTAACGTGAACAGCAATGCAGATTAAGTACAGATGAGACCAGTCAATATTTGTAGCTGCTATCAAAGCTGCTAAAATATTTGACACATTATTTTTGTACTTATAATTAACATGGATGAAGTAGTATAGCATAACGTAGCGTATTTTGTAACATTTTGATACTGTTACAAAATATGCTAATGAAATAATAGTATTGTTACGTTATTTTCCTCCTTCACGTTCGTACGGGGTTCGTAGATTTGGAGCGAATAACGTCGACACTTGATGAAGTATCGAAACACTCTTTATTTAGCCAATATTAATCAGGAGAGCTCCAAAGTCACTTTTTACAGTCGTCGAAGATCTACTATGAACACACTGGAACAATCAGCGACACAGCTTTCAGGCTATCACGGAGCCTAATAGCCTGAAGACGGCACGGCAAAGCACTAGAGTACAGCTCGTGACTCTCCTCGGTTGTTCTCGGATCTCTACAAACTCTCGAGACTCTCCACGCTACAACTCGCTGTGCACTCGATGATACACAAGAGTACAGCTGTCGACTCGGTTCAGGCGTTCTCGGAGCTCAGCACACTCTAAGACTAAACTCGACGATGCACTAACTCGCGATACACTAAAGACTCTCTCGATGCGCTCGACAACCAACTCGGCGCTAGACTTCGAGACGCTCAATGACTGACTATCACCTCGCTAGACAAAGCACTAACTCGATACTAACTGCCTCTGCGAGTACAAGCAGGGTTTATATAGCTTTTGACTGGTGTTCGAGAACATTCTGCGCTAAACCGCTAAGAATTCGTCCCAGAAGGTTCTCCATTCGTCCATGGCACATCGCCAGTTTTGTCATCAAATGTCACCAAATAGGCGATTTCTCGCCAAATGGGGCAACCCAGCCGTCCCGTGCCATTTTCTGGCAACCCTAAAACTGCTTTACGGGGAAGCTATCTCACCGCGCCTGTGCATTTCGTAACATTACAAAAAATGACATAATAACATAATCAATACGAAACTGCTATAATCATACTCTTAGTTTGTAAATTTTCTTTTCTTATGCAGTTAACCTCTGAATTTTATTTTCGTGCACCGAATTCCTCAGATTTTATTTTTGTATATATATATAAGATATCAAAAATAGTTTTCTTTATTCTCTGCAGAAAGAAACTAATGGCATTTAGTTCAGCAAATTCAAGGAAAAACAGAGCGAAGGAGAAGCTTTTGTGAAAGGTGTCCGCAACATTTTAAGTCCTAATATCAGAAATGGTGTGAATTTACTTATTGAGCTCATGATCAGATAGTATATAATATCATAGATGTTGCCGCGAGCTAAGATTTTGTAGTGATCCAGTGGAATTAACGAGGCAGACGAACCGGGACTATATGAAATCATATGCAAACTTCAGTTAAATAACAGATATTAGAAAGAAGTAAAATAGCTATAAATATCTCAAGAAGATAAAGATAAGCCGAAATGTTCCTTAACATGTTGCATATTAAACAGATATCTAAATCTCGAAGGGCGAACTCTAAATCACATTCAATGCGCAGTTAAAACAAACTAAGAGTTTTGACTCAAGCGATCCACAGATTCTCACAATCTCCTTTTTATAAAACTGCTTGATATAGAGGGAGAGCATATCTGTAAGCCACCGAAAATTTTTCGCGGTGTTTATAAAACGCTTTCTCTCGAAATTTTCAAGCTGTCCATAAATTATCTAGAACTCGCAAATTATAACCATCTTGGGGACAAGCATTGTAACCAAGGCCTATTGGTGCAGTGTGTTTCCTTATGCATCGGATTTTACTTCAGCCTATCCTTACTTGTAACATTAGTCGACTCGAAATTCCAAGACCTTCGAATTAAGCTCTGCATGAAATACATATATACAAACGCCATAAATAGTCAAAATACGCAATAAATAAACATAAACGTATTCTACAAAATGCCCCAAAACTTTAATAAATAAATAAATGACACAACAAAACAAAAATATGTGAGAAGTCATAAAAAAACATAAAACTCAAACTGAAAATAAAAAATTTAGTTACGAAAGTTTTCACCACTGTTAGCAAAGGGCAATAAAGGATTTATATTCTGTTTGTTTGCGTTCGATTTTGGTGGCCTTTTTTCATGACTCTTAAACTTGTACGATGTGTACATAATACCTCAGTGAGACAAATAACACGTTGCCTTGAAACAAAAGGAATCGTGAGTGCATAAATCCTGAATTAACCATATAAGAGCAAATGTGAAATACAGAAAGTTTAAAGAAGCTATTTAAGGAATAATTCTAACCGAGACGAAAATATCTCATACGATGGAAGTATTCTGTTCTTGGAGATTCCTTTGTCATGCTACAGAAGAGGAATTTATTTAATGATAATTTCTAATCTGCAAATGCTTTCTATTATATAAAGATTTTTCATTGATTCAAAATTAAATTAGATAATCATTCTATGTATAATGCATTTATTACATAATGCACCTCATGCGGAAAAGTTTATTTTATTTACTTATTTTGCAAGCAATATTGTATCTAAAATACATCATTTTCTGAAGCAAAACAAGTGTATTGGAATTCAACAGTATCATGGGCTCCCACAAATCTTCGAAAGGATTATTCCTTTACCATGTTTGATAATTATTGAGCACAGAGTTGTCTCATAAGTTTTCTGCACACAGCTTCATTAGACTTTAAGATGACTGTTGCAAACTTTTACAGATTTATTACTTTGTAAACTATGAGCGAAATAACTTTATGGAACATTTTTAATGGCCGAGCGCTTTATTAAATAGCCATTAGCCTTTCTCCACTACTAGGGCAGGAAGCGGTGGCCGCTTCATTATGAAAACACTTAATCGGTAGCCACCATTCCCTTTCTATGAAGGGAAGGACAATGAATCCCTGTTACAATGAAACAGAATATTAAACTTTGTCCTTAATTCTTACTACATTGTGACTTTTAAAATCGTACTAATGTGAGATTTATGAAAGAAAATAGGTTTACAGGTTTTCCCATTTAAGAAATACTGCTTTAATTCCAAGAACTGGAAAAAGAGATGACGGACTTCATTTTCTACTGAGTAACATTAGTAAGATGATGTTTTTAAAGACTACTAGAAATAGGGATCGATTAGTATTCTTTAAAAAAGTTATTAAAAAAACCTAACATTCTTTCTCTGTACAAAATTTAAAGCCAGCCCTGTCATGCACGAAGAAGCAATATTTGAATACAAACATAGTAGGTGCAGAAAGTCCAATAGAACTACTATAGGGCGCTGTCTGGCAGCGTGTTAGCTGGGAAACGCAATCAATCCGTCGGGTTTTATCAATCATAGGCTTTTCTAGAGTATCATCATATATCATTTATAAACCAATCATCTGCTTTTCTAGAGGAACATGTATACCTACACTAATACAAAGATGGCTGTAACGCAACTCGCCTATGAGGCAACAAATGGACGACCTTTGGCAACTTGGTATTCTAAGCGATTCCCAACTCATACATCCTGAAACATGAAATATTTGCATATTTGTCTCTAACTGTGGGAAAGTGGGTCATTTGAAGAACTTCACTCAGAAACGAAAGTCATATGCACCTGATTTTGGAGGAGCAGTTGTTAATGACAAACTGAACTCAGCATACGTGGTAGTAAATAAAATACTTCGCATAACAGTCCAACATGTAATGAACATAGTACGAGAAGTGTCAACGTTCTTTTTTAATGCAAAAACTGAATCATCGTAGGCAGCAGACTATATCGTCGAGTGGAATAAATATGTTGGTTTTGCAAATAATTAGCTGAAGAAACCGATATTTCAACATACGTTCTCTTTACAATCGAAGGCGCTAATTGTCAGTAATATTTACTCGTAGTACACTTATTTAGATGATTGACAACTCAACAGCGTCCATACTGAGCAATAATTGCTCTCCCGTTTTCTATTCACAGCTTGACAAGCGAAATTATGTAATATATTTGAAGGACATCTTTTCAGAAATGTTGCATAATATTCATAGAAATACCTGTTGCCTTTGATATCAGGATTGAGTAATAATAAGTGAAGGGAGACGGTACTGCCACAAGAGTATAACTGGACCCACAAACTGGGAACTACAGTCGACCGACAATATTTCCATTGTTTTCTTGACTACCTCAAAGGATCTGTTTAAGAGATTGGTGTGAAATCTCACTTAGGCTTCATCATAAGTATATTTGAATCAGTCTTCCGTAAGAGGCCTGAATGTTTGCGCATAATTACCAATTTAGGCTTGTGAAATGTAGAATTTATTGAGCTCCTCCTGAGAACTTAACTCCTGAACAATTTATTATCATATTGTGAAAACATGCAGTAGTACCTTCTTTGTATTCCTTTATTTCCCCCAGGTACTCGAAATTTTCGGCTTCCGATGCTTCTGGATGGTGTTCCTGCCATATGTTCCTATACAAATATGCTGTATTAGTATATGTCAGACTTACTCTAAATTTTGTACAGGGAATTCAGTATCATTCGGTGAATTACAAACATTTTATTTTATTTTTTGGTATCCGATTTCCCTTTTATTTTACAACAGTGCCCATTGCATTTCCGCAAGCTTCTAGTTTTAAGATATTGTCAATTCATCGCTTTTTGTCTATCTGTGAACCTCAGGTAATACCAGCAATACTCTAATACTAGCTCAAAAATACATTAAATTGCATGGATATTCATTGAACTGCACTAAAAATTAAATTACCAAAAACACATTAAATTGCAAAAATATATTACATAGCATTAACACTGCATGATATCAGTCATAGACTAACGACGAGAGAGAATAGCTGTTTAGTCAAAGCAGAATATAAGTTAAAACTATCAAATAAGATGGTAAAAAATTACTGTTAAGAGTAGCTTTACATTTATCGCATATTTTTAAAATTTGTCAAGTATTGCGTTATGTTAAAAAATTAGTTTATAATTTTGTTACATAATATTCACGCTAGAAATATTTTATGGAAGACACATTTTCACAGACATACTTAAAAAGCTTTTACATATGAATCAAATTTTACATAAATAGAATTAAAAGTTCTAAAAATAATTCTTCTATGTTCATCGCTTATGAAATTACTGTGTGCTAATTTTTGAAGTTTTAACTTCTACGCCTAAGATGACTTCAAAATACAAGAATAAAAAAAAAAGAATTATAAAAACACTGACAAAAATGCAAATTTATACCTTCCTGCACAGTATACAAGCGAGCAAACAAAGTACAATCAGAATCGTGCACAGTAAGCCTCCAAAAACAGCCAGAAGAACTATTCTTTCCTTTCTCGTTTCTGCATCACAAAAAGAAAATGAAATGTAATATTAATATAAATAATACATCAAATTATGTACTTCCCATTATAAATACATACACAAAAAAGACATTTTTTGGATTTTTTTTCGTATATACAGAAAATAAATAATTTAAACTATTATTTGAAAATTATTAACATTTCAATAATAGCTGAGTTTGTACATCATTAATTATTTTTTACTGAATGGTACAATTTAGTATAACCATACTATATATATATATATATATACAAATATACATATGTATGTTCATACATACATACATACTATATATACTGGCTGTCCCATAAGTTTGTAAATAATTTAAAGATTCATAAAATTGAAGAAATTGGTAAAATTGAATGCGTTTAGCAAAAAATTTATTCTTGTAAAAGGGGATTTTGGGGAGTAAAGAAAAAAATATTTAAAATTTTCGCTAATAGAGAGCGCCGCATAGACGCAGTAACAATAAATATGTAAATCAGAGCCCTATAAATTGCAGGTTTTACAATAAAGTTCATTCCTGATTTTTCTTTCTAATTGCTCGTACATAAAACTTTCATTGTGATGCTGACATTAGTGGATAAAGCGTTATTAGTGAAGTTGTTTTACCTCAGCCAAGAATCTCCGACTGAAGCTTTACGAAGGTTTGGCACAGAAATGGGATGGAAGAAAGGTTCAGATCCAATCACTATTTCTGGACTGACTTCCCTGGTACGACATCTCGAAAAAGTGAGAATATAGTTTAGAATACAGTTTTCCTTGAAATGTAGGATTTGGTTTGTGCAGCGCCCTCTACTGATGAAAATTTTAACTCTTTTTTTTTTTTTCCTTCACCAAAAAAAGAGCCCCTTCACGAGAATAAAAAAAAAAAATTAAACAAATATTAAAATTAAAATAAATTTTCGCAAACCACGGTTAATTCTACAAATTCTTTCAATTTTTTTTTAATTTATAAAATATTTATAGACTTATGAGACAGCCTGTATATAGCGAATATGTATAAAGCAGTTTAAAACCGAATCTAATTGCGCGCTGGTAGCAGCAAATAACGATTGTAATAATGCAAAATAAATTGAATTAAAAGATTTAAAATCTATTTCATACTCAATTTGGAACTAACCATATGCAATAAAAATGAATTAGAAGCACAGTAACGAATTGCATGAAAGGTAGACAAATAATTTAAACCAAATATGAAGGTATTAATAACCAAAGGAAAAAGTAATTTAGATATTTTGCCGCATTGATGCAATGAAAGAAGTAAATACAACAGCCTGTTTCTGAATTGATAACGACACATTATGACTTAGAGTTTAATACCAGAAATTTAAATACCAGAATATTAATTAAGATTATTACTTGCCTTTATTAATTCAACTGCTACAGGCAATGTAATGCAAAAATTGCAAACCTTACAGCTTTAAAACGATAAATAAACTCAAAAATCTAAAAGCATTTAGAATAAGTCTAATAAACAAATCCATGTAAACACACTTATGAAAAACTGATACAAAATACCGAGAAAAAAGGAGAGTTGTCAAAAGTAACAGTAATGAAATAATTGTTTTGAAATTAAAAAATAAATTATTCAACATGATTGGTAAGATAAGAATGCTGTTAAAGCTAACATGTGCTAGGTAATAAAATTATTACCAAATTTAGAACTGATTAATAATATCATTTTAATTAATAATCGTAATAATTAATTTGGAGATTGAATGTCAAAAAATTAATATCCGTATTCACTTTTAGTGAAACAGGTAATTAAAAGCAAGCTTTCTTCGAATAATCCTTTTTTTTTTTTCAATATTTTTAGATTTCTTAAAGACTATTCTGCGGCCTGATGCTTCAATCTCATAATTATTGTTGTCTCATAATTGCTATCAATTCACACTTATGTTATTATTATCTCATAATTATATTATTATTAATGTCTCATAATTATTACTATTATTTCATAATTATTATCTCATAATTATCTTATTAAGATAATAACAAAAAATTCCATAAATTCTGTACTATCTTAAAAAATTTATATATATACAAAAGAGAATACAAATTCATTGTAAATAAACAATAGCACTTTAATGCCCATACCAAGATTTCCTCGATCTAGGATATGGCAAAAGATGCCCTTATAGTTATCTTCGCATCTGAAAATGAAATTAGGATTAGCGGTACAAGTATTGAAACTGAATTAATTATCATGAACAAAATGACTGAATATTTATAATAGCAGTCGGAAAGTAATATCAATGATCTAGAGATGATTTTATTAGCTATAATAAAAAATATTAATTACATGGAACATTTAATGATCTATAAACATGTATGTTTAAGCTAGAACATCTTTAAAAGAAAATGCAGTCATTATGAACTGAACACATTTTGGACTGAACACATCGAAATATACGAAACCTTTAAATTCCTCCCTTTTAAAAATATTTCAGAAATTCAAAGAATATTCATTTATTTAATATTTTGCGTTTTAATTCTTTTATTTTTTAATTATTCTCATGATTACAACTGTTATTATTCATAATAATTAAATAATAAAAATTCTCATTGTCTTTTTCTCAAGTTGAGTTTTGCATTAATAACATAATCCAATTCATATTTAAAAGCTTATACTAATAAAGCACATCTTTTTTTATAAATCTTCAAAACCTGTAATACAAAGTTCTGGAAACAACAAAATTATCTGAAAGAGTAATTATTAATTTAACTCTATCTATTTAATTCATAGCTGAGTCATAAGGTTAAATAAAATTTAATTCTGTTTAAAAAAATAGAGGAACAAATTGTGTTTTAAATAAACTAAATATCTCTGTGTACAGTGAACCTAAATACGATCATTCTGCATATTATTTCATAAATATACTCATTTTTAAAAAATAGAAATAAAATGCAAGTTAAGCTTCAAAATTGCTATTTTTTTTTAACATTGCTCTTATAATAAACCGAACTGTATAAAGTGCTTTCGGAGTATTTAAACAGCAAAATTTACAAAAATTCTGGTCTAAGATAAGAGAAAACGCTCGGATCTTCATTCTCTCGGGAGTTTACGACGTTGCAGCCTTTATTACTACTATATTATTATCTTGTCCTCTTACGCAATCTGATGTAAAGGCATCTTAAAACTCCAAATTAATTGGAAATACCTGCGCACGGCGTGTTCGTCTTTAGAGTTGGTTACGACAACGAATCTGGATAGAATGTCTTCAGAATTTGCATTCACATTTGTTTTTACTTTTTTGATGGAACAGAAATTTCGTTTTTTTCATTAGGAGAAGCCATATTGAAGAAGAAAAATGATTCGGACCCGGCGGTCACACCCACCACAGAGCCCAAGTAGGGAACGCAGATTCCTGTGCCAGGGCTAACCGGGTTTGCACGCAAACTGAAGCCCCACAGTCAGCTTTCCTGAAAGCAGGTACGTCCAAGAGCTTATCCCCAAGTCACTGACACAAGGACTAATGACCAGCTGATCGACACCCGTGAGGACGACTAAGGTGCCTCCCGTTTAGCTGAAGCAGAGGCCATAGCAGTGTGTTGGCAACAGTACCCCGCCCCTCAACTACCAGGACCCTCCTTTCCAGCGACACGGGTCTCCACGCACGGCAAACACGTGGGCAGTTTTCTCGAAACTCGAAAACTAGATATAAGGGCTGTTCCAGCGTGTCATGACGAGCCCCAACCTCCGAAGAGGAAAACTACAAGGGAGAACGGAAGGAGAAAAGTTTCAGCTCAGAGGAGAGGTGACAGAAACGACGATAGATCACTAGGGCTCCAGGATCGTGACATCTGTCTCACCAGATGATGATCCCCTGAAGGCCTAGGGTACCTCGGGATTGCCCCACCCGTACTCACAAGAAGTAAGCCTCTGAGAGGAGTAAATCATTAAAGCAGCCGTAACTGTAGGAATATTTATGAATAGATTGAATATCGTGGGCGAAATAATTGACCCTTATGGTACTCCTGACCGGATTTTTCTGATTGTGGAGAAATTGTTTCTAATGCGCATTTGAAATATCCTCGAGTTTAAGTAATTCGCAATAAGTATGATGAGTGCCGGAGGGAAGAGAGTTGAACTTGATAAGGAGACCGTGAAAAGAAACCTTATCAAAGGCCTTTTTTTTACGTCAAGAAAAATGATTGCGACTATTTCTTTTCTTTAAAGCTGTCTCAGATGTATTCAGCAATACTTGCAATTTGTTGTATGGTAAAAACGCTATGGCGAAATCCAAATTGATGATCTTTGAGTACGTTATTTTGAAATATAAAATTCTGAATTCTCGTGATGATGATGATGCTTTGGAATAATTTGGCTATTGTAGGAAGCAAGCTGATTGGTCTATAGCAGCGGTTCTCAAACTTTTGACTAACGTGTACCATCTAAACAAAAAGCGAAAACCTTTAGTACCACCACTACAAAGTACTACTACCACCACCACTCTTGAACAAAGCTCTGATCGCATAAATTTACGAGTGTTAGGGGAAAAAACGCAATCAGGATGTTGGGGTTTTAATTTTTGAATTTAATAGTTAAAAATACTTAGCTTCTTTGCATACTACTTATTTCTGTCCTGCGTGCCACCGGTTGAGAACCTCTGGTCTATGGTTTTTAGTAACTCGTCCGTCTTTGCCTGGCTTCTTAAATACAAATAGCTGTATGCTTTAATGCTTGCGAGTATTAGACAGTCCTCCACGAAGGCATTCCTCCCCTTAGGCAGATAGTCCTAGTGTGCTTTGCCATAATCTCAATAAACCAAACCATGCTTGAGAGAATTTTTAACCATAATTGCAAGAGTTTAATTCATTTATCTCCAGCCGGAGACAAACATTAAAACTAATGGTAATTAAGACGATATCTTTCTCTGGGTTGTTTTTGATGGCTTCGTTGGTTATTTCATTGTAACCAGAAAAAATGCTCCCATATCTGTTTAAAATGTCCTATACTTGTTTATTTTTTGAGTGATTTAGTATTTAATATTTTTTAATTGAAATAAACTATTCTAAAACTATATGAAATTAATTTTATGGTAATATATTAGTATGCTTTACCATGAGTTCAAACTGTCGAATATATATCACAAAAATATCATTACGTCAGCCTAAATGATTCAGTCAAAATGATCATTTTATAAAAGATCGAAATTTTGAACACTTTATAAATATAACTTTAAAAAAACAATAAAAGTTATTACAAATTATTTTATCATTTTATGTAGTTTTACGAAAGATATTTGATCATAAAATAAAACCTTATATAAGTAGAGGTTATTTATTATTAATATGTGATTCGGTATTGTAGTTCTGAGTAATTAATTTTTGTTTTTATATTTTTGATAACATGAATATATTCACATTAAATCTGAACAATTTGAAAACGGAAAAATATTACAATTATGAGTTTTTTCCTAATACATAATTGCATAAGTAAATAACTCTGATAATACTGACACATATTGGGTAAGCACTTCAAGATTGTTAAACTTTAATTGTTTCAGATTCTAAATCCTAAGTAAGTCAATTATTTCGTAGCTTTATTTTATTTAAAATATGTTAAAACATTCAACATTTTAGTTCGATTCAAGTTATCTCAAACTGCTCTTATAAAGTACTGAAAAGAGCTAAATTTAAAACACTTAAATTAAAAAGCGCTCAATTATATTTCTAAAGAAAACTGAGCATCAAGTCATTCGTAGAAATATATAATTTATACAGTATAAAGAAAAAAATAATTGGCGTAAAATATGTTTGATTTCATACTCGCAGGCAACTCCTTTTCCTAAAACTTTCACACATGTTCCGTGCACACATGGATAACTATCACATGCATCTGAAAAGATAGATACATCAAGACTATAAAGAATATATAAAAGAACAATTTTGAAACTAGATAGATGTTTATGCGCTAAATATGCCAAGCAAATGTAATTTAGATACTTCCTTAATACAGAATTTAAATACCCTTAATGAATTTAAATATCTCTGAGAATCCTAAAGTTATTTTCAAATTACGCAAAAAATTGTTAAACGTTTTTAATCTTAAAAAAAAATTTTTTTTTTAAGTTCAGCAACAGTAATCTGGCTTAGAGTCTGAACAAAATTCTATCTATTCTTCAGGAGAAAAAAATATTTGTAAATGGGAGAGGAGATACAACCATACTTGTGAGAAAATCAGAAGGTGGAACAAAGTGAAAATTAACCTATCGTTGAGGACAACAATAATGAAGGGTGAACAACTAAAATTAGAATTTTGACAGCTCGGGAAGTACTTATGTTGAAATTATTATCGTTAACTAAAGACAATAAAGTTTAAATTCGTTAAAAAATATTGTAGCATAATCAAAATAAAAATTATGGTTAAATAACTGTCTGTGATTAGCTGCTAAGTTTCATTCCTTACTTAACATAAATATCGTTTTTCTTTGATTCAAAATTTTAACGTTCTTTGATATGAACGATAAACCACGATAATAAAACATTATATAATTTTAAAGTATTTAAATTATCTTCTTTCATCTCCCTCTTCTATTTTCCTCTACAGCTCTAAGTTTGTTTTCAGTTTGCTCCACTCATTGCGTTTCCTGCAAATATGGTTGTTGCTCGTTACACTATTGTAAGCGTTTTTTAAACGCTTAAACGAGCTTAACGCTAAGCTCGTTTAAGCGTTTTTTGCTCTTGAAGAAGTGAAACTATATAAAGCTTTAATTTATCTGATTTTAAATAATAAATTTCTAACTAGATATTGTTACTCTTGGAATTAAAATCTTCTACATATGTTATGAACCAAGCCTAGAATATTAATTTAATTGTTCAAAAATCTATTTCGTTGACCCTTTAGGGTTAATAGAAGGGTCACGTGTGAAGTTATTTTACATCTCCTTTACGTGCTGTGTTTCGCTATGTTTACCTAATTGCACATAATGAATTTTGTTTTTATTTATTAATGGTATCTAATTTAAAAAATTAATAAATTGAAAGAAAACCCTAATGAATCATTTTGTTATTTTATATTTATTATCTGCAGTGTATTCTTAAGCAAACAGCGATTAAATAAAAAATATAAGTAATTTTGTGTAAATATTTAAACCATAAATGAAGGAAATTATTTAATAATATAAATAATGTCTTTACAATGTCTATTGAACGTACTGGTCTAATGTGTTCGTTAGATTTCTCAGTTCTATATATCATTTTTAGATTATTTTAGTATGTGTATTGTACATTTAATTTTCATTGTTGCTATTAATTATTTTTATTCTGTGAACATTATTTTCTTATTCTCATTAAGTATGACGTGGTTTCGTGTAATCGTGTGATTTTTTTATCCGATCCCTATCTTTCTCAGTTTTTCATTTTCCACTGGCCCTGCGATGTCCAAGGGAAAATTCCGCTACACTTTTTCTTCCTCCTCCTAATTTTCCTAAGCACGAAGTCTAAGTTTCTGATAATTTTCACCACGGAAACTAGCAAGTGCTATTGTGGAGAATAATGATAACGTTTGTGTGACAATACAGTAGCTGAATGTGATTGAATTTTCTGTTAAATTTGAAAAGAGCGTAAATAGAGCATTTACAAATTACACTGAAACACGATGTTATGGGTTGAAAATTACATTCAAACACTTAGTTGTCTTCATAATTCAACGAGGGCATTTTAAAAATGGCACAGGAAAATGACTGACTAAACCACCCTAACAAATAATTTTAGGGATGGCCAGAACATCTTGCAAAACTACGGTTAAGGTTTTGAACGAACACTGCTAAGATTTCGAAGTTCTTGGAAAATGATCGAAGATTATCCTTAGACGAGATTATGTCCCTACTTAACATCCCACTTGAGCGCACTCAACACATCACGACAAAACGTTTTCATATGTTTCACATACGGATCGGCTGGATACCCAAAGGACTCACACAAGGGCAGATGCAACGACGAATGCAGAGGTGCTGCAGCACATTTCAGACGTTTGAGACAAATCAAGATTTGTTCTTACATTCATCATTATGATGGCAAAATAGCAGTCAGATGTGAGTAAACGAGTCCACCAGCAGCCGAGCAGTAAAAGCTGCTGAACACTGGTAGTTTAGTCCGGGTTTCGAATCCCGGCAAACGGACTGGCTGTATGGGCGTTTCCATGGATTTCCCCCTGTATAACGTGTGTACGAGCCAGTTTCCCTCGAAAAGACCCCACAGGGCATCCCTGCCTTCCTAGTTCCTAAGGGCGGAATAAGTAAAACACATATGTGAAAACACTAGAATTCTCACATCTTCGTTTAAAAAATTCTATTCCTGTCATGGCAGGTAAAGCCAAGCTTCTGATATTCTTGATGCTCATAGAATAATCACAAAATACTAGGTTTCTGACGGGCACAATGTAAACTGTGAGTATTACGTAAACATAATGAAAACCGATTTATGTGCGGCTATAAAAAAGCAAGATTTGTTTCAGAAACAGTGAAATCAATGGACAGCATTCAATTACACTCTGTACAATCAGTATTTATAGTCACGTGACTCTCAGTTCTCAGCTACATAGAAAGAGGATCTCTTCAGATGATGAAAAAGAAACGCCAAAATATCTAAAACGGATTGGACAAAACGGATATATTTCAATTGAATAAAAGAAAAGAATGTGCTTCAGAATTGTTCAGTCAACCTGTGTATTACACTACAGGTCTATTAATTATTTATGCCTTTTCATTTTTGAAATAAAAAGGAACTACAGAGCAGTATGTTTACCTTTACACTTTCCTTTTTCTTCTATAAAGCCGTCTTCACATTTGCATTGTTTACGACCTCTCCAGTCGAAAAGACATGTTGAATTTGGTCCACAGCTGCACTCTTAAAATGTAAAAAATCCAAATGCTATTAGCTAGGAAACGTCTGGATGTAATACCTTGTATTTCACATCAGAAGTATTCTTTAGAGCCTTACTTTCGCATAGACCGTCTAATTCTGCAAAGCCTTCTTCGCAAATGCACTCTTTGCCTTTAAATTGAACAAGCTGGCACTTCGAATGTGGTCCACAGTTGCATTCTGTAATAATAACAAAAATCCGTAAATTTAACTTCTTACTAAATGTAAATTCCTTTAAAGAAATCGAAGAATTTTATCTATTATTAATAATTAATTTTAACTATTTAGAAAGCAAATTGCTGGTTATAATAGAAATGTTAGGAAAATAAATAAATTTTAGAAATCTTCTTTTGAATTATATTGCGATACCATTAAATTCCAAACCAAGGTACTTTCTAAAACTAAAATTATTTTTCTAAAGTTCCTGCACTATTTATCCGCTTTCAGCTAATTAATATGTAAGATGTTCTATTAAAATAGAAATTCCAAGAAGGGTCTTGTTTAACATATTCCACACAGACATATGTGATTTTTTACGAAGACTTCGACAGAATTTATAGGAAATATAAGGTGATTTTAATTAAAATCATTTCAGTGCTCCATACAGTTGTAATCGTTTAATGCAGCATTTCTTAAACTGTGCTTCTCGTTCTCAAAGCCTCTCCTTGTGGTCCTCCGAGGTTTCTGAGAAGAGACAAAAATAAAATTCAAATTACCGCATACCTCAGATTTTAAAACTTTCATATGGCATTTCATGTCTATCAAGTATGATTCAGCATTTAAAGTATGAATAAAGTCTATCATGTGAGCATATGGCGATAGTCTATCAATCTATATATAACATTTTTTGCTAGCACTGTCATTTTATGAAATAATTTACCGGTTACCCTACCTATGGATTTTATACTCCAGCCTTAGGTACAACAGAGAGGTTTAAAGCACTGTGACTGTGGTGCTTCTTACTAGTATACACCCAAACATAAAATAGCTGCAGAGAAATTGGTATCCGTCCAGCTCATTAATGTGATTACCAATATCTATTTAATTATATTTCGACCGCCTCATCTGCGACCATGAGCGCAAACACGCATGCGCCATTCGGACCGAATTATTCTCAAAATAGGTTGGAAGGATGGGGACTTTCTTTCCCTCTAGCAATGCTCTTTCCGGAGAAGAGAAGACCATTTCACGTCGCAGCAAGTAATACCGCCCCTTTTGGACGAGTCTATGTGTTTTGGCAGAATGTCAACCAGGTTTGGGCTTCAGACTGTCGAACTATACAATCCGTGAGGACAAACGATAAGTCGAATAAATTCTATCCAAAGTTACGAGCGTTTTGAGGATCGAAACACCATCAGGTGATAAGCTGTAGTAAGAAATAAAGAAGTTCGTAATTTTTTTTCATACAAACATATGTGTTTTCAGTTATTCATAGAAGAAAAATTTTATAAATAAGAGAAACAGTTTATGTTGTTATTATTTATTCTCAACTTTCGCCCACTTAGTGAATTTTCTCTGAAAGCTTAAAAAGATTTTATAATTTCTTTACTTTTAGTTTAAATTAAAAAAAGTTATTCAATGATTGATTAAACATGTTAAAGCTATTTGAAGGAAATGTCGTCTACTATTTTAATATTCAGCTCCCAATGTATGAGAATTACAAATTATAACCCTCAGAAATGCCTTTAGCTACCAAGCATTAGGTTTAAGATTAGGAAATGAATGCAAATTGATTTATTTTTCTTCGCGATATTATTATTAGTATTATTATTATTACCATGTATGATGTTTTGATATATGTTTTTAAGTTAAATTTAAAATTTATTTAAAATATACTTTGTTAAGGTACGTTTTTATTTGGTAAAAAAAGTGTTCTGGCCCGTCAGCTGTTTTCAGAGTATGTGTTCGGCTCCACATGCAGTTTTATTTTGAAGCCACTGCTTTTTATTACCCTTAGATATTTCTTATAAAGACAATCAGCTAAAAGCTAACTTTTTGGGAAGAATTTCCTTTTCATTAAAGAGTTTCCAGAGATAACTTATTTTTTCATCGATAAAGACACGAAATTCAGCGGTCAAAAATTGAGCTCTGGTGTAGTATCAAAGGCTCATAAGCTTGCTTGTATGGAAGTTTGACTAAATTTAGGTATAATATTTAGGTTGTGTTCACCTCTACATTTTCCTTTATAGGCAATAAAACCGTCAGCACAGTCACATTGCTTGTCACCATAGTATCCGAAGGAGCAGGTTGAATTCCATCCACAGTTACATTCTGCAAATTAAAAGGAATTAAAATCAGAAGAACGTTCAGTAAATAGTATAAAAATTATTATAAAACTAATCTCAAACATCTTATTTCAAAGTTATTAGGGTAAACATCACTAAAAAAAAGAAAGATAATTATTTTTCATTGTATTTGAATATTTATATTTTTTTAATAAGCAAATATAAATTTTATAGAGCTTAAAAAGATAAGTACATTTATATCAAACGGATTTAAATTCACTGCAAATGCCCACCAGCAAGTAGTTCGACCTGAGTGCGTATGCAGGCGAAAGGCCTGACTGAATGGCAGTTTTTGTAGGTTTCCCATATGCAAAATGGAAGCCACTTTCACTTAGAAAGTCCTGCACGAAAGCAACACCTCTGCTTAGGTAGATTACTATGATTTTTACTTAGATAGATACTATGATATTTACTTAGATACTATGAATTTTATTAGCACTAGTAAACTGTGCCACAACGAAACTAAAATCATTAAAAAATATAATTTACGAATTATAAGAATCGAATGTGTTACTTATGTAATGAAAGCTTGCAAATAAACTGAATCACTAGAAAATCAAAATGCTGAAAACTTCCGCCAATTAAATATTCAGTAGCGAAGAAAATGTTATAATTTTCAGTTTTCGGACTACTGTTATGTTCATGAAGTTTGCGTAAACTTATTACAGGCCACTCGTTTTTTAAATTTTAAAAAATAATGTTGCTCAGTCAACATCTAAGAAGCATTTGTTCAAAAAAGTATATTTTCTTCAGAGCTCCTGACATTTCAGTAAATACCAGTAGCATATACCTTTTGATGCCAATCTTGACTAGCTCTTCATTTTAGTTTAAATAATTTAAATTGTTTCATGACTTTGAACTCAACCATTGAAAAGACTGAGGATATTGTGGTTAGAAAGTGAGAAACCTGCCAAATAGAGATCGCATCTATAACATAGCATAATCTGTTTCTAAGCAAAGGAAAACTTCACTGCTTTACTTAAACACTCCTTACTAACTCTTTGCTTAAAATGCTACCTTATGACGAGCTGTCTAAAGATGCCTCAAACTCGTTTGCACTAAAGCACGAACTAAGCTGTTCTGAATGATGCCATTTTAGGCATATCTTCCGCAGAGAATATTCTAAAGCTTTTCACGACCAAATTCATATTTTGCAAGTTTCATGCACGTGACATGAAATTTCCTTGGACCTTATGACACAGAGTGTTTGTAATTTGTGAGCTAAAATAAAGTTTAAAATTTGGCATTGAGCGGAAGAAATGGGCTTTGTAAATGAAAGAAGTTAGAATTCACAGTCCAAAGAATGACTGAAAAAGTTAATTATCTTACTTTTGCTGAGACTGTGGAAATCACCGAACGGGGAGCCATGAGTTAAACAATTGACATTTATTCGTTAATAATTATAATATACCTTTACCTTTGCATACGCCTTTAAATTTTGCGAAACCTTCTTTACATGTACATCGTTTTTCGCCGTCTTTACTGAAGTAACAAACTGAATTAGGTCCGCAGCTGCATTCTATAAATGATAAATGATAGTCATTTATACCAGAAGTTATAGATCGGAAAATGAACCATAACGATCAAAGACATAATTTAAGAACAATTTATAAAGAAAGAGACAACATAAATTTTATATTCTAAATATCTCAAAGTTCTATATATGCATTTTTTATTTATAAATTTTGAAGTACAGACATGCGTAGACACCTGTAATCCATTTTTTATAAAGACACATAAATGTACAAATAACTGTTTTTGCTTTAATGTATATTATAACAAAAGTATTAAATATTTTTTCCATAGTAAAGTATATTTAAAACTGTAATCTGCTGTTCATCCGTTACGGTCTGACAGAGATAATGCGTCCGCAAATGAAATCAAATTAATTCTTCCAATTTTTTTTTTCAATTTATAAAATTTTATTTGTTTAAGGATATTTGGAATGACTTTAAATAGTGTCTTCCTGGCTAAGCCTTGTTTTCTATCTGTGAAGATTCCTTATTTAAAGCAGTCAGTGAAATAGCACTAAGCTTTATTAGAAATGTCACTTTCAGAAATGACCATTTAGTAGTACATCGACGAGTTTCAGTTCGCGAGAGTGCGTTTACTGGGCCCATTGTATATTTCTGAAGTATGAATTTCGGGGTTTGTTTTAAAATACTGTCAACGAGTAATTTGCAAGATTATCGCGATTATTCATTTTGTTAAGTTTTCTGCTGTTTCTATGAGTTTCAACATTATTATGCAGACGCGACGTACTGTTCTTAAAACACAAGCGAATCACTGTACTTAAGCGACGTACTGCTCTTAAAACACATTCTACTATATTCTTAAATATATTTCAATTTCCCAGCTGTTAATAAAGATATCAAATGTAAGTAAGTCTGTGCAGAAGTTCATGCCGCAACTACAAACCGCACGCAATGTTTGTATGATTATATTCTATAATTTCTGCCAATTCCCGCGTTGTTTGGCGAGGATTGTCATAAACCAACTGATTTAGTTATTTTCATCAAAATGAAAGAGCGTTCATCTCACAAGTCGAAATTTTACTTTTAAGAACGAGAAAAACATTTCCATGCAGTCCTCTTCACAAGTGATTCACTCTTGTACGCACCACTAATTCTCCTCGTGCCTTCTGCAGCACTAAATCTTCGAATAAACTTCAGGAATATAATCTTCAGAAAGTGTTAATTGTTTTCTACCTAGCACTCCATACTAATTAGCCTTTAAAATGGCCAAAACGAGCTTTTAACAACATAATAGGGGGGACCGGAAAGTAATGTCGTTTCTGCGCATGTCGACAACAACATGCTAAGGGCAGAAGTGGAAGCAATTTTATGTCAAACACTTTTAACTAACCTTCGTCGACCATCCAAGAACATTGAAAGCAGAATGGAAAAAAAAAAAACAAAGCAGGTTGTTGAGTCCCCCTAATCTGTCCGATAGAGAACAAAGCCAATCGATCCATCACATGCAACGATTGGTGAACGGCATTATACAGAACCGTTTTTTGATCTTTTGATTACTAGAGACTAAAAAGGGGCTCCTATATGTTAACCCAAAAAGCAAAATACAGTTTTAATAGGGGGTTGCCAAGGGTTTACATCCCAAAAAATGTGTTTCTGTGTGTTTGGGTAGAGTGTTCGCTGAATAGTTCACTTTGGATTGCTGAATACCTGAACAAACTGTTAATGCAGACCGATATTGTGAACAAATGGATCGAGTGAACCCAATCTTTAATCGGAAAATATCCGGAGATTGTGAATAGAAAAGGCGTCATTGTGCAACACGATGCAAGACCGCACTGTGAAAGACTAACACTGGTAATAAATTGAATTGAATTGGGGTGGGAGGTACTGCCTCACACACCATACTCGCCTGATATCGCGCCCTCGAATTTCTATTTATTCCAGATCTCTTACAACATTTTCTTAGTGGCCAAAAAATTTGAAAATTTGTGAATGATGTCCAAAATGCCATCTTGAGATATTTTACTCAAAAACCAATTGATTTATATCGGTCTGGGGATTGAAAATCTGCACACTAGATGGCAAAAGGTTGTTGATAACGAGGGTGATTACATCATTGATTAAAAAAAACATGTTAAAAATTTATTCGTGTGAATTTAATGTAAGAAAGCGAAATTACTTTCCGGTCCCCTATTATAAGCTCCTATTCACAACAAGCAGATTTCAAACTGAGCAGAAACAATTGAATAACACGGTAAGGAAAGACCAAACTTGGTAAGGAAAGACCAAGTCGTATATCGTTATTTAATTGTGTCTCTTAGACCTGTAGTATCTCTTAGACTGCAATTGTTTTACAACTGAATGAATATAACTTTCAAAATAACTACCTCTTTTTTTAAAGTTGAATATAGATATTTTAAACCATTTTCTAAATGATGAACATAAATCTGATCTAAATTCGAATTAAAATTATAAAAGGGCTGTTTTACAAAAATTGAATCACATACACATGTAAGAAATTTTTAATATTTGATAGAAAGCATAAATAGTTTCATTAATTTATTATTTAAAGTAAAATCGCTTTCTATAGTCTGAATTATATTTTACTTGTGAGAACATATGTTTCCAAAAATTTGACTTATAAGATTTCTGTAATTATTCTGGAGACTGAGCTAAAGAGCTTGAGAATAAATTTGCCATATGTAATGAAGAAAAAGATGTATAGCTATATCGTAAAATGAGCTTATATGTCTTTTTATTGAAATTAATTTTCTAAATCTAGAATAAATTTTGACCTTTCCTTTGCGTATTCCCATGGTATACAATTAGCACCTAAGTGTGGCATTAGGAAAATATATTGCTCAAATCCCGGCAACAGCATAATTGATTTTGCATGTTCCTTCTCAGGAAAAACTTAATTTCTCAATAAATTAAAACTAAATATTTATTCAAACTGAGAAGAAATATTTTTATTTCTAATGGCGGGCATTAATCGTCGGATATAAAACGAGTCTTTTGCTACTAGTAAGGCTGGAAGCAAAAGTCACTTTATTATGCAGGTACCCTATAGATGAGCCATTGTTTCTTCTCATGAGGCGACAGACAATTTAAATCGATACCTGCTCTGAGATTCGAGCCCAGGCGCATCGCTACGGCATCAGAGTCACTGACCACCTTCTCGTCCCCAACTGAGAAGAAATTCTTTCAGTTCTTAAGACTTTTTTGATTACAGTAGTCTACAACTGTTGAGTGCGTGTTACCAGAAAAATTGTGTAAATATACTATGAATTGTATTGCTTAATAATAGAATAGACTACAGTTTGATTTTTGTATATTGAGAGTTAAATTTATAAAAGCCTGTATGAAAGTCTACACTTTTATAGTTCTTTGTGAAGATGTTTTCCACATTTTCAATTTTTTGCATTCATTCGAGAGCATTTGAAGAATGAGCATAAATGGCGTTCAATTTCGTATTTAGAAATCTGTAATAGAAACTATTCAAAGTCATTGAAACTATCAAAATCGCAATAACAACCTTGTATTTCGCGTACATTTTAACACTTAATCATTCGAGGGCAGCCGGTCCCTCTCATCGAGAACGAAATTACTAGAAAGGGAAAGCAATCAATCAATCAATATCTTTTATGCCGAACTGTCGCTGTTAATTACGCGAAGTCGCCGGCTCTTGACAAATGTGCCAACATGGGCGCAAGAACGTGGAAATATCCGGACGAGTTGCAGGAGTATGGAGATGTTAAGAGGGGGTGATTGGCGTCACAGGACGGAGAAAAAGCAATGATGAGCGCTGAAAACAGGAGAGGCTCAACGTAGGTGGAAATATAATGAGAAGGGAAAGCATTCCTTTCCTTTTCCCACTATTGCAGTGTGTAGCTTGCAGATAGCAAGCTGTATACCGGCTGTCATGAATTAAACAGTACATTGCAGGTATAGCAAATGCATGAGTGTGTCGGAGGACGGATGCAAAGTGAAAGAGGATGTACTACTTGTCACGTAGGCTAAAGCGGCGTTGTAGGCTGAGAGATTCTGGTCCAAGTTCGGACAGTGTGCATTTTTTCAAATATTCATGCAAAACATCAAAGGCATTTTTGAATTAGAAGGAAAGCCAAATGCCAATGATTTGAAAATTTACGGAGTGCCTATGGTTCAAACCATTTACCCTCCACATCAGAATTACTAAAAGCGAGCAGAAATAGGAAAAAATTTTGGCATAAGTGATTTACTTGATGCACACTAGAGGGAGCCACAGGCTCGAGAAAGTTTAGGATAGAGATGAGAAATAAAAACTTAAGTATCATAATTCTTTTTATAAGTTTTTAGGTTTTTATAATTTTTTTGTATTTTATATTTTATATTTTTTTGGTTTTTTTTTTATACACAGTAACACTAAAGCAAAAAGCGGATAGGAAAGAGTTTAACGATTAATAGGCTCATTGGCATGTGGCTTGTGTAGGATAGTGCAAATAATAAATATGAACGCGATGAAAATATTCATAGGCAGATTTAAAAATCTGCGGGAGATGTGATTCTTAGCGAACAGATTGATAACTTTGCTTGAAGATCTTGAATGCAGGTAGTGATGGTGATAAGCAATTATATGGCAGCTCGCTGAAGAGACGTCCTTCCTTCATGGCGCGGGGGCTGGAACTGAGGTGAGAGGGCGTGTCTTAGCCCTTTTAGATGGTGGGTAGATGCCGAACTCTCGGCCAATCACGGCTCTCGGTCTCTTCTGTGAGCTGCGAATAGCAGGATCGTATGCTGGCATCTGTTGAAGTGCTCGGTTATCAATCTGTTCAATTTTAAGGAATAAATTTTGACTATGTTTTTTGATAAGGTAATCAACAGGTTTAATGTTAAGGTCCGAATGAATCACATCTGTACGGACGTACCAAGCTGCATTTAGGGCCATACGTAAGGTTTACTTTGAAAAGATTGAAGTTTTTTCACATGAGTTTTTGCAGCAGTACCCCAGATTGTACATGCATACATAAAGACAGGTCTTATAATTGATGTATAGAGAAGGAAT